CTCCCCACTTTTTTTTTTTTCGTTGAACTTTTAATTTCAGATATTATAGTTTTCCCATCTAGAATTTCTATTTGGTTCTTTTTTGTTTGTTTGTTTTGTTTAGACAGGGTCTTGCTCTGTCACCTAAGCTGGAGTTCAGTGGTGTGATCAGCTTCAACCTCCTGGGCTCAAGTGATCCTCCCACCTCAGCTGCCCAGGTAGCTGGGATTACAGGCACATGCCACCATGTGTCTAATTTTAAAATTTTATGTAGAAATGGGGTCTCACTGTGTTGCGCAGGCTGGTCTTGAACTTCTGGGTGATCCTCCCACCTCAGCCTTCCAAAGTGTTGGGATTATAGGTGTGAGCCACTTGACTATTTGGTTCTTTTTTTTCTTTTTTTTTTTTTTTGAGACAGAGTCTCGCTCTGTCACCAGGCGACAGGCTGGAGTACAGTGGCGCAGTCTCGGCTCACTGCAACCTCCGCCTCCCAGGTTCAAGCAATTAATTCTCCTGCCTCAGCCTCCTGAGTAGCTGGGACTACAGATGTGTGCCACCGCGCCCAGCTAATTTTTTATATTTTAATAGAGACGGGGTTTCACCATGTTGGCCAGGATGGTCTCGATCTTTTGACCTCGTGATCCGCCCGCCTCGGCCTCCCACAGTGCTGGGATTACAGGCGTGAGCCACCGCGCCCGGCCTGTTTGGTTCTTTTTTAGACTTTTTATTCCTTTTCTGCAATAACTCATCTATTCACACATTGTATCCATCTTTTCCCATACATCCTTTAACATATTCGTAATAATTTTTAAATTCCTTCTCTACTGATTCTGATAACTGGGTCATTTACGGGTTTATTTCAATTGGCTGTTTTTCCTGTTGGTTATGCATTACACTTCCCTGCTTTGCTGTTGCATGTGTTATATTTTTAGAACTGCATTCTGGATATTGTGTATGAAAAGCAGTTACGTATAATCATTTTTTAGTGTTTGTATACGTATATATGCACACATACATTCACACACTTTATAGAGTATGCGAGCGCCTTCCTCTGAGTAGCAGTTAGGGTTAGCAGCTGATCATTCAGATTCCACCTAAAGCTGAGTTGTACGTGGGTTGGGCTGCAGCTTTAATTAAATTTTGTGTACTTCAATCCAATCTCCGGCACTGCCACTTTGAGTTTGTTAGTATTTGAGCTAGGTGGAAGTTGGGCTGCAGTGCTGATTATCGTTTATTTTTATTTTTATTATTTATTTATTTTTAAATGGGAGTTTTGCTCTTATTGCCCAGGCTGGAGTGCAATGACGTAATCTCGGCTCACTGCAGCCACCACCTCCTGGGTTCAAGCGATTCTCCTCCTCAGCCTCCGGAGTAGCTGGGATTACAGGCATGCGCCACCACATGTGGCTAATTTTGTATTTTTAGTAGAGATGGGGTTTCTCCATGTTGGTCATGCTGGTCTCGAACTCCTGACCTCAGATGATCTGCCAGCCTCAGCCTCCCAAAGTGCTGGGATTACAGGCGTGAGCCACCGTGCCTGACCTTTTATTTTAGAGACAGTGTTTCACTATGTTGCCCAGGCTGGTCTCCAACTCCAGTTTTTCATCTGTCAACATAAAAAAATAGAGACAAATCTCTAAGTAAAAAGGTTTTATTTGGAAATAATATACAAGAGGTAGAACTGCAATCCAGGATGTCCATATAGACTAGGGTGGCCCCCAGCATGTCTGAAAACAAAGGAAAATGTTAGGGTTCTCTTGGGGAAAGAGGAGATTTAAGCAAGTCGTTTCAAAAGAAAGCTCACTGGTGCTAGCAGCAAGTTTTCTAGGAGAGCTGGTGAGTTCAGTAGCAGATTGGCGACTGTCAGTAGTCGCTAGGTAGGACTTGGGGTCCTGGAGTTCCTGTTAGGCCCGTGCAATTTCGGACTGGGCCTGAGAAAGTGTCAGTCTGGTGTTCTTGTATAGCTCCTAGCTGCCCTTGTGCTATTAGCAGTACTTGTGTCTCATGGGGTAAGCTGTGATTTGAAAACTGTTCTTGTGATAGTTCTTCTTATCTGGCAAATCATGCATGAGAACTCTCCCTTCATAAACTTCCCTGGCTCTCTTTTTTTATTTTTTATTTTTTGAGATGGAGTCTCTCCCTGTCGCCCAGGCTGGAGTGCAGTGGTGGGATCTCAGCTGACTGCAACCTCTGCCTCCCAGGTTCATGTGATTCTCTTGCCTCAGCCTTATGTGTTGCTGGGACTATAGGCGTGCACCACCATGCCCACCTAATTTTTTTTTTTTTTAATTTTTTTGAGACAGAGTCTAGCTCAGTTGCCCAGGCTGGAGTGCAGTGGTGGGATCTCAGCTGACTGCAACCTCTGCCTCCCAGGTTCATGTGATTCTCTTGCCTCAGCCTTATGTGTTGCTGGGACTATAGGCGTGCACCACCATGCCCACCTAATTTTTTTTTTTTTTAATTTTTTTGAGACAGAGTCTAGCTCAGTTGCCCAGGCTGGAGTGCAGTGATGTGATCTCAGCTCACTGCAGCCTCTGCCCCCTGGGTTCCACTGATTCTCCTGCCTCAGCCTCCCGGGTAGCTGGGATTACAGGCACGCGCCACCACGCCTGGCTAATTTTTATATTTTTAGTAGAGACAGGGTTTCACCATGTTGGCCAGGTTGGTCTGCAACTCCTGACCTTAGGTGATCCCACTCACCTTGGCCTCCAAAAATGCTACAATTACAGGCATGAGCCACTGTGCCTGGCCTAATTTTTTTGTATTTTTAGTGGAGACAGGCTTTCACCATGTTGGTCAGGCTGGTCTTAAACTCCTGACCTCAAATGTTCTGCCTGCCTTGGCCTCCCTAAATGCTGGGATTATAGGCGTAAGCCACCTTGCCCGGCCCCCTGGCTCTATTTTGCCAGGGTTTGACGCAAGTGACTCCATTTTGAATCTGACAATTTTCACATACCGCTAATTATGTTAGCTCGAGGTTTTTTAGATGTTTTTATCAAGTTTAAGAAGTTCCCTTCAGAGTTTTTAAATGAATGAGTGTTAAATTTTGTCACGCTTTTCCTGCGTCAATTCATATGATTATGTGATTTCTCCTCTTTAGTCTGTTAATGTGACTGATTAAATTGATTATTATTATTATTATTTTTTGAGATAGTCTCTCTAAAGATAGTTGCCCAGGCTAGAGTGCAGTGCTGCTATCTCAGCTCAGTGCAACCTCTGCCTCCCCGGTTCAGGCGTTTCTCTTTCGTCAGCCTCCTGAGTATCTGGGACTATAGGCGTCCACCACCACACCTGGCTAATTTTTGTATTTTTTGGTAGAGATGGGATTTCACTATGTTGGCTAGGCTTGTCTCCAATTCCTGACCTCAAGTAATCTGCCTGCCTCAGCCTCCCCACAAAGTGCTGGGATTACAGGCGTGAGCCACCATGCCCAGCCCATTGATTAATTTTTAAATATTGAACCAGCCTTGCCTACTGGAAGGCAGGTTATGGGATATAATCCTTTTTATACATTGCTTAATTCCATTTGATAGTATTTTGTTAAAGATTTTGCATCTATATCCATAAGGGATATTTGTCTGTGGTTTACTTCTTGTGTACTGTCTTTGGTTTTGATATCAGGCTGATACTAGCTTCGCAAAATGAATTTTCAAATTCTCCCTCCTCGTCTGTTTTCTGGAAGAGATTGTGTAGGATTGGCATTAATCCTTCTTCAAATATTTGGGAAAATTCTCCAGTGGAACCATCTGGGCCTGGAGGTTTCTTTTTTGGGAGGTTTTGAATTATGAATTCAATTTCCTTAATAGCTGTAGAGCTATTTGGATTCCCTATTTCATATTGGATGAGTTGTAGTAATTGTGCTTTTTGAGGAATTGGTCCATTTCATCGAAGTTGTCACATTTAGGTGTGCAGAGCCGTCAGTGGCATTTCCTTGTTGTGGCTGCGATGCCTGCTGGCCCTGCGCTGGTGGCCTGTGTTCCAGTCCTCATCTTGGGTAGTTGTTTCTTTTCTTTGTCAGTCTTGCTGACAAATAGGTTGGTCAATTTGATTGCTCTTTCCAGAGAACTTGCCTTTTATTTTGCTGATTTGCTATAATGTTTTTCGGTTTTTGATTTTATTGATTTCCAACTTGCCCCCTTTGACATCACCCCAGAGTAGGAGGGGCACCTTGTTACTGCCAGGCTGGGGAGGAAGTCCAGGCTCCACACGTGCCCTCCACTGATGCAGTGGGGGTGGGAGCCTCGTTACCGCCTGGCAGGGATGAAAGCCTGGCTCTGTCTGTGACCTTCTCTGACAGCACTGAGCAGGGGTGTTGGGCGCCCTGCTGCCACCTCAGGGGAAGTCTAGACTCCCTACACAGCCTTTGCTGGCATCACTGGGGGTGGGCCACGGATGTGTTCTGGGGGATCTGGCTGGAGTAGAGCAGTGATTGTCTAAGTCATCTGTCTGGCTGGGTCACTCTTTTCTTGGTCCTTTGCTAGAGAGGGTGTGCTTTTCTTGAAGCTTTTGTCGTTTGTGCCCATTGGCATTTCTGGGTTGGTGGCTTTTCATCTCCATGTCTGAACTATATGAGACAAAAAGGAAACCCGGGGAATTCACCACCACGTAGTTCCTGTGGTCCTGAAATACACAGCCAGTCTGCCTTCTTCTCTTTCGGTCTTAAATTTGTTTTGTCGATGATGTCTTGAGTTTTCAGTTGTATCAGTAGGAGGAACAGGAGAAAGTACATCTGCTTCATCTTCCCAGGTGATTGTCAGGAAAGGGCTTTGCAAACCCTTCTCATTTCACATACGGGTTAGTCACGGCACATGTAAAGCCGCTAGATCACGCCTGGCACATAGTAGGCTTGGATACAATGATCGTTATTTTCCAATGATTTGAAGATTCTATAATTCTCAATTTGATTATGCTAAGTGTTATCAGTCTCTAATGCTAAATTCTGAAATACAGTATGGAACTTTCCAGGTATGGAACTTGACTTCTCTTCCTCCCACTTTTTTCCTCTCCCTGCGCCATCTTAGGAAAATCATTGATCCTGAGCAAATGTTCATTGCCTTACCTTGCAGAGAGCAGGGAGCACCAATCCGGTTCAAGACCGCCCTCATGAACACACTCATGGATGTCCTTCGCCACAGACCAGGATGGGTGGAAGTGAAGGAGTAAGACATTCCCCAGCCTTGTCCCTCCTTCCCTTTGTCTCACAGGTCCTTGTCTTCCTTGGTTTTTCTCCCAGTTCCCCTGGGTGGCTACTGAATTGTCCTAAAGTGGCTGTGACATTTATTCAACACCCACAATGTGCCAGGCACATTATTGCTATCATCTGTGTCTTATTTAAGCCTTTCAGCTAAACCCATAAGATAAGATTATGTTCAGAGTTATTAAACCAATTGCTTAAGGTCACACAGCATGTCAGCATCAGAGCAGGATTCAAACCCAGGCGCATTTGTGTCCTGTGGCTTTCAGCAGAGACTAGGAATGCAGCTACCACAGACCTGTGGCCTGGATTCTCCAGTGACGGGTCCAGATCAAGAACTGCTCATCCCTGGGCACTTGCTGGTTCTGTGACTTTGGCCCGTAAGCCTATCTTTCTTTTCTTTATGCTGGCCTCTGGAGATACTGATTGAGACAAACCAGCATGTGATGCCAGCACAGAGTAGGTACTGTTAGTGAGGGCTAGGGTTTGGATGCATGCAGTGGAAACCCAAAGTAAAAGAGGCTTCGACTTGCTAGAAGTTGATCTGTCCCATCGAAGTCCATATGTAGGAGGTTCAGAGATGGTCGGGGGGCCCCGCAGAAATGTGGGATCCATTTGCTTCTGTCTTTCCACCCTACTATCCCTTAGGTGAGGCCCTTGTTTTTCATAGTTCAAGGTGGAGCTCCAGCCTCGTAGGCAAGAGGCAAGAAAAGGTATAGGCCAGGTGCAGTGGCTCACACCTATAATTCCAGCACTTTGGGAAGCCAAGGTGGGAGGATCGCTTGAGTCCAGGAGTTCAAGACCAGCCTGAGCAATGTGGCTTTTGTAGAGACCCTGTCTCTACAAAATATTTTTTAAAAAGTTAGCCAGACATGGTGGTGTGTGCCTGAAGTCCCAGCTACTTGGGAGGCTGAGGTGGGAAAATTGCTTAAGCCTGGGAGGTTAAAGCTGTGAGGCTGCAGTGAGCTATGATCACACCACAGCACTCCAGCCTGGGTGACAGAGTGAGACCCTGTCTCAAAAAAAAAAAAAAAAAAAAAAAAAAACCATGG